CGTGCAAATAGATTGGGAGCATCTGAGCATTAAAGAGGCCAGATTTCCTGGGGATTTATTACAAATAATGACTGTCGGGGAATGACAAAATGCTAGTACATCCTTCATTTTCCTCCTTACCAGTGTAAACTCAAGTGCAAATGAAACATTAGACGTTTATGGATGGCTTCCAGTACTTTCTCCCTCTCCCACAATGAGCACCTGCTATCACAATGATGGCTCATTGACATCATAGCCGGTGTGCTTGTACATCTGAGTGTGTGATCTCTCATGTGCATCCATATGTGAGCATGTGTGACGGGAGTCGGCGAGTACTTGGAGCAAGGCTGCATGCTTTTACGAACGAGGTCCTTCTCGTACCGAGTTGCTTCTTCACTGTACTCCATCTGGGCAAGTCTCAGAACAAGCTCTGCTGATCTCACTCAAAGATGAATGCTAGGCAGTCGCTTCTAAACCCTCCAAGCTGCACGTGCAAAACGGACCGCTGGAGATCTCAGAAGTGGGTGCTCCCTACCTGGTGATGCAGGATTGTTCGAATTGCTTTAAATCCTATGATTCCCTTTCTGTGGCTCAAACTTGACAGGCATTTTGCTCTAAAGTCTCTAAATAATAAAATTGAGCTTCCAAAGAAAACAGAAGATCATATGCAAATAGCAATCTCGGTTAGTTCACTTGGGTGGGCAGATGTTCTAGAACTTTCCTTTGGATGGTGCACCAGGCAGTGTTTGTAAAACTCCCTGCTCTCCCAATGCATACAGCCACCTGCACATGCAAGAGGCACAGCCTAAGGTTTACCTTACATTTTACCTCAGTTTCTCAAGTCATTGCTGTTCTGTGGGGGCAATTCTATTCTGGAATCTTCTCCTGGCATTCATTTGAGGTGGAGTCCAGCTTCTTTTACTTGCTACTAACCAGGGGTAATTATACAAGAAAAGGTCTTTTTTGTTTATTAGTTAGCTAGTTTGTTTTGTTTTTTGAGACAAGGTTTCTCTGTATAGCCCTGGCTGTCCTGGAACTTGCTCTGTAGTCCAGGTTAACCTCAAACTCAAAACTCAGATCTACCTGCCTCTGTCTACCGAGTGCTAGGATTAAAGGCATGCTCAGCCACCACCCAGTGAAATGGTCATTTCTTATTATAGAAATTAAGTTCCTTTCATGCAAGTGATAAACTCATAGCTCAAGCCAGTTAGTTTTTCAACAATATTATTGTTTTCTGGCCCCAGCCACTTATTCCAATTTCTGGATTGGAGGTTCAAACAATGTCTCAGGATGCTCGGTTGTATTTCTTGGTTCTTTTTCTTGTGAATCAGCCTCATTCTTTTCATGGTGACCAGACACATAGGTCTGTAGCACAGTCAGCAGAGATTCCATGGTGTTGTCTCAGCCACAATATCCAAATGCCGCAAAGGCTCCTGCTTCCTGCCTTGACTGTCACATGCCCTACCAAAACAATCTCTGGATTAGAAGGAGAAGAGTGGCTGGCACAGTATGGGTGGCCCAGGTTTGGTCTTGAGTCCTTTCTTAGTTTTTTTTTTTTTTTTAAATAAGAATAGTGAAAGTAAGTGCCTAAGTATAGTAGACAGAGCAATGGATACTATCATTCACACCATTAGTCCCCTCACTAATCAGAACTTCATTCATGGTCTAACAGACACTAAAAATCAAACCTTAAAGGAACTGCAGTAGTGTACCAATGTCCTCTTTAAAAAATCATGCCACGAATTTGCGTGTCATTCGGGGGAGACCTTGATCTGGAGGAGGTGGGAATGGGGGGTGGGCTGGGGGGAGGGGTGGGCGAGAGGGGGAGAACAGGGGATTCTGTGGCTATTATGTTGAACTGAATGGTGTTGTAAAATAATAATAATAATAATAAAAAAAAATCATGCCATAGTATTTTTGAAAATATACTAAGAACCCAGTAGTGAGTGGGGTTGTGTTTAAAAGGACAACTATTAGCAAAAGGTAGGTGAAAAACTGACTTTCCAATTGTCTCCCTGCTTTTACTGTCTTAGTATTCTCAGTAGGCATTGCCTATCAAAATGGCCTACTAAGGAATCTCACTCATAGAAATCCATTCAGTATTTGATATAGAGGAAGGTACGGGCGAGAATGTAGCCCTTGGTCTATTTATAGCACTAAAGGGTAGGGGAAATAGGACCCAAATAACCCGGCCTGTTAAATTAATTAAAATAACACCTTCAGTGACCTGGTTGATTAAAATAATGTTTTCACAAATTGCTTAATGAAAATATACTAAAGTATACCCATTAAATGTTAAGTTTAAATCTGAACTGTATAGATCCAGATACTAAATGTATCTGGGGGGGGGGTGTGTTGAAAAATGGAAAAGCTTTGATCATCTGTAGATAGCAGACTTTAGAGGTAAGAATATTTTCCACTAGTGTTTTTTAGTTTCTTTCCAGGTATCAGTCTCTGAGCTGAAGGAAAATGCCTTTAAGTGTGTGTAAATACATGGAGCGACAATCCAAGTTTCTGCTTACCAATGTATCATACCGTTTCCTTTTATAACGTTTTTCTACCCTCCAACTCTTTATCATAAATAACACCCTGCAACACTTTCACCTCGCACACATGCCAAAATATTATTCCATGGCTTTGTCCACTAATGTTGCTAAAAAAAATAAATAAAGAGCAAAATGAAGGATTTGGTAAAATTCTGTTTTTCTTTAGTTCCTGCCTGTCCTCCTTGCTGGAATAATTGTGAAAGTGTTTTTTTGCCCAAACACTTTTTTTTTGTAGCAATTAAAAAAACTAATCATTTCTAAGAAAATACTAAAATATTCAGTGCACACTGGAGGCTTTCCCTTGGAAGGCGGCACAGTGAATAGTAGTATTGAGTCTTCGCTATTTAACGAACTCGAGCTTTGAAAACGCTCCATCGTTATGAGGCCACGTGGGCTTATAAGAGGATTTCATTACCTCTGCAGTTGCTGCCACAGCGCCCGGTGTCCCCGCCACCTTTGACTGCCACTCTGATTCATTTTGAAGCCAGTTAGGCATCCGTATCTAGGGAAGGATAAACCCCTGAGTGTATAATTAGTAACTTCATGCTTCTTTCTTGGTCCTGACTTGTAGAGACCAGTTTTGTTTTCTACAGTTAATCACAAGGGCTGCAATTGAAAAAAAACTTTTTTTTCTACAATTCTCCCATGGTTGACCACTTGGCCTGATTGCTTTCTGGTTGTGAGGGTTTTTTCTGTTTTTTTTTTTTTTTTCCCTTTTTCATCTTGTCAAAAGGTTCAAGCCTTAGATGTTTAGAGAATAGGATTGAGTTTTTCTAAATGGCACTGAGCATCAGATAATAGACTAGTTGGCATCACACAAAAAGGTTCTTCCAGACATCTCATGTGATTATAAAGTATGACTTGCAAGGATCTTGGATGCAATGATATATTTTTTGTTTGTTTGTTTGTTTGTTTGTTTGTTTGTTTTATGGTTTGTGTGTGTGTGGGGGGCGGTTGTTAGTATTCTGAATCACCCCACGGGGACCTGCTCCTTGGAGTACCTGCCCAGCCTCTTCTTACCCTTACCCTTTCCCCTCCCCCTCCCTCTTCCTCACCTGGGCACCTTGGTCCAACCCGCCAAGGTCTCCGGTGTCTGGCCTTGCATTCAGAGACCCTCCTGCTTCTGTCTTCCGAGTGCTGGGGTTAAAGGTGTGCACCACCACTGCTGTAAGGATGTATTCTTGTTCTTTAGCTTTTGTTTATCTTTCTAAAGACAGGGCTGCCTTCTCCCATACTCTCTTCCTAAGAGTCTCAGGTTCTATAATGGGAAGGACTGTGGATGTAAGAAAATCGGATTGTGAGAGGAATCCTTAGACAGCCAAAGCAAAATACCCCATCTCCTACCCAGATCTTCCATGGCAACCATTTTCCTCGGGCCTCAGATTTCTCCATCTCCAGAAGGCAGGTTCCGAGGCGTTGGGGTTCACATGTGAAATGTACCCTTCAGCGCTTGTGTTGAAATAGTCCCAAAGTGCTGCGTTTGTTTTTAGAGCCTCCCCGAAGGAAATGAGTTGCTAGGGGCGGGTCTTGAGGCTTTACAGCATAGCCTCACTTCCTGTTCACTTTCTGCTTCTTGACAGATGCGATGTGACCCATTGCCTCTCTGTCCTTGCCCCCATGTCTCCCGCTGCATGGTGGGATGTATCGTCTTGCGCTGTAAGCCACAGCAAATGCTTCCTTCCTTAAGTTGTTTCGTTCTGTATCTTAGGACAGCAACAAGAAAAGTGGGTAATAGAGAGGGGAACCAGATTTCTCCGGGAAGCTGAGGTCTCCCTTTTCATGTTCCTATCCCAGATTGAGAGTATTTCCAGATCAAGGCTCCCAGGGAGGTCTTCTCCTCTCCAAATTTCCCCCTACTCCTAGATTTATGATGTCATTGCTTTGCTTTGAGGCTTCCTGTGTTTGCTCTTAATATTCAAATTAAGTCTTTGAAATGTTTTTCTGCGAATGCTTGTGGTTGATACCTCACCCTACTAATAGTTACCACATCTGGGAAACCACACTGTTGCCTAAATGGTAGGGTGCAAAAGAAAACGAACACTCACATGTCTACACATATAACATGTACTCAAGCATGTATGCAGACATATGCATGCATGATTTGAGATATCACTTTGCATTTCATATCCCACTCTCCATTGTTTTTATGTCTTTGAAAAGCACCAAATGTTTCAAAATTAGCTATGAATTTCCATCAGGCTTCTTAAAGTCTGCCCAGTGAAACCCACTCAGAGAAACTATTCTTAAAAGCACTAATTTTCTGTTTTAATTTTATTCTTCCATTTATTTTATAAATTAAATCAGTGGGATTTAATTCCCAAAGCCTTTTCTTAGTTTTATGTGAGTGTACACATGAAGGCCTGGAAACAAAACCCTGTGGCAGGTATGACGTTATTATATCGGAAGCTGCCTGAGGGACCATGGGCTTCACTTCTAGATTTCTCATAATCAGCTGTTGCTCTCTCACTTGCTTAGGATGCCAACACCTTCTGGGAATGATGAAAACAGACATCAAGGGTGATCTATGCCTAGGAAGCTGGAGGCTCACATGGAACTCTGGTGAGGACCCTTTATCAGCTGCCGAGATACTTAGCATGGAATGGGAAGCCCCTGTGAGATGCCTCACTTCCTCACCTCCGTTGGCAGTCCACATTCCTTTAACTTCTGTAGAAAAGATCTCTGTTCAGTCTCAACTAACTGACTTTCTCCAACACACTCAGCAATGTTTGTATCTCTGTTTCTTTGTTCAAAATGCCTTTCGTCAATGATAGGTTTGAATCAGGCTCTCAAAGGAACCCTCTGATCAGAGAAGCTGCACCCATGTGTGTGTGTGTGTGGTGGGGGGTGCTTGCTCGGCCATGTTCTCTAAGACCCGAGTTAAACTCCTGCCATGGGATTTATTTTATCATTTAAATACACGTCATCTCTGTTCCAGTGTCCCTCACCATCTGGTGGATCCTTTGAAGACAGGAACTGAAACGTCATCACCCACGTCCCACAGTGCATTGCAATGTCTGGTGCACAATTGTGCCCAATATTTGAGAAATGAATGACTTACTATTGGTGGATGAAACCCAAGGAAAATAAACAAAATCAAACAAAAAAAGGGCAAATCTACAAGAGGACTTTGTTCATCTATTTTTCCTACAAATAATCCCCCGAATTTAATAATCAGTGAACCAGAATCTACTGGTGTGAAGGGAATAAACTGCTCACATTGTAGAAGACATATTAATTCTTTGGGGCTATTAAGAGCCATTTAGATTTTGGTTACACAATTCCAAAATTGCCTGCTAACATTGTGAGCAAATCAGTTAAAGCTGCTAAAGTAAACCCTGCTTTTGGAGAGAAGCCAGTTCTAAATTACTCATGTGTTAGTTTTATTTTTTTTAAATGCAGGTTTATAATTTTAAGATCAGTGAAATGCCAGGTCTCCCTTAATGAATAACTAATATTTATTTGTAATTATCCAAGTACATTTTTGATGTATAAATGGTTATCCTAGGACTGCAGCAAAGTCAGAAAAAAAAACATAGCTGCTTTTTAAAACACAATAGCACAGCAATCTTGTCTTCATTCAATACTGTCTTTAAAATTTTTACAACAATGAAAAGGTAAATTTTAGTTCAACCTAGGTTGAAATACCAGTTTTCTTAATAGCAAGCACTATGTTAATGAAGTTGTATTTTATCTGGTGGAATTCAGCTTTTTTTAAAAAAAATTTCATCCTGGATATGTTCTCCACATAAAAATGCTTCTGTAATATTTCTTAGTCCACAGTCAGATCTGTAGTCATTGTCCAAAGAGCCGTTCCGATATGTTGCATATCTGCTCTAAAGATTTCAGCACTTCTCCATCACAGAGCTCCAATTTTCAACCTGTTTCTGGCTTCAGCCCTTCCTTCCGGTACCATCCCTACCCATCTTTTCCTCCAGTTCCTTGCAGCCTGTATTGTTTCCTTGTGGGAACATAGCAGTCACTTGGCTGTCTGTGTACCTGGCTACCAGTTATCTCTGAGTCAATCCCAATGCCAATGTCACCCACTTCTCTGCCCTAGTGGCCACCTTGTCCTTTGCTTTCAGGTCTGGATTAGGTGACTCACGTGTCCCCTGGCAGAACTTAACTGAAATCAAGTTCTTCTTTTCCATGGCAGGCCCTCCCACCAGGGTTTGACATATTTGAAAGGCAGCGCCTTTATGGTACTGACCTTTCTGAGGTCCCCTTACTATGACCAAATATAATAGGCTTCAAACATTCACTAAATGAATCCATAAATGGACTTTTGGGGCTTGAAAGACAGCGATGTTGTCAAGATCTGGCTCTCTGGCTTTGGTGAAATCAGATACCTTTTCAGTTAAGATTTAAAGATTTCTAAAAATTGAACATAATATAAAATAGTTACTCATATTTATAAACACAGTATAAACACACACATGTATATATTTCTAGTGAGCCAACATTTTATTTTTTCTCATAAATAACAGATGGATTGGGGAATTGGATTACCATTTCCCATTCACTCCCTAAAAGCAAGAAGAAGGGGCTTTAGTTTGAGTCTGTGAACGATGGTGATGTTGTTCAGATTTGAGTTTGAACGTTCTGAAAGTTTGAGTCACATTATCCATACCACATCTAAGAAGAATGAGTGCCATCATGAGTGTACACTCACTGACCCAATTTGGAAGGAGGAAGACTGAAGTCTGTCTGGGAAAACGGTTAGAGGTTAGAGATGCTGTTGGGTCACCATGACTGGCTGGATTACCTGAGCTAAGCCCATGAACTGTTCTGTTTCATCACCAACACCTGTAGAATGGGCACAACTCATGCTGCTCAGGAGATGAGAACTGAACAATGCTCTCTGGCTGCTCCCTGGTAATCATCAAGCACCTTAATCCCCTCGTCAGAGGAGCTTTCTCCATGCTTTGGGTAACCCAGTATTGCCCTGAACTAAATAGCAGTTGGACTATTGTATATTTTATCAACACACAAAAATATTTTCCAACATATCTCTTTCATTCTCTCTTACTGAAAGTCCAGTTGAAGAGATAGAAGTGGGATTCTATGAGCAAGGGGAGTCAAGATCATGACGGGAAAATCTACAGAGACAACTGAACCAAGCTCAAAGGAACTCATGAACTTTAGACCTACAGCGGTAGAACCTGCATGGGACCAGACTAGACCCTCTGAATACAAGACAGTTTTGTAGTTGGGTCTGTTTGAAGGGCCCCTGGCAGTGTGATCAGGATTGATCCCTGGTGCATGAGCTGGCTTTCTGGAGCTCATTACCTATGGTCGGACATCTTGCTCACTCTGGATACATCGGAGAAGGGCTTGGTCTTGCCTCAACCGAATGTACCAGGCTTAGCTGTTCCCCATGGCAGAACTTACCCTGTTGGAGGAGGGGATGAGGGGTATCTGGGGGTGTCTGCAGGGGGGGCAGGAGGGGGGATGAGGGGGATCTGTGGTTGGTATGTAAAATGAATAAAAAATTAAAAAAAAAAAGAAAAAAATATTTTCTAAGACCTGGATATGGTGGCACATGCCTATGCAGGAGGCTAGTCCACAAGTTTAAGGCAAAATGGGACTACATAGTGAGTTCCAAGCCAGTCAGAGTTACACAGGAAGATCCTATATCAAAATAAATAATACTAAAGAATTGTCTGACTACCTGACTGAATGACGAGTGTTTCCTCACTAGTGTGCCCTGTAAGGTCTTGGGGGTTGGCATCTGTGGGGCACCCCCACAACAAATAATGAGTGATCGTAAGATCAAATCTCAAGCTCGGTGTCATTATTAGTTAGTTCATTATTGGAGCTTCCTTTCCTTATTACACATGCGCATATGCATTCCTCCACACAAACACCCTTGGGGTGAAGCAGGGTGCATCATTAGTGTTAGTGAATACTTAGGATTTATCCACGTCCAGCTAAGCTCTGCTAGAGGATGGGAAATGGAGACTGGTGGGTGAGTGGGTGAGCCTGCGCAAAAAGAGGCGGGAGCAGGGGGCAAAGGAGTGAGGGACAGGGGGGGGGGCAGAAAAGGAAAGAGAGAGAAGAGGAGAGAGGACAGAACACTGTGGTCGAGGAGGAGGGATCTGGAAGCTGGAAGCACATTCATGCTCACAAACCCCTTTCTTATAAATGCTTTGGCCATTAGAATTATTTGGTCCCTCCACTTTTACCCTTAAACAATTTGACTTGGGGATCTAATTTTGGGCAGGTTTGTATTAGAGTGTTTTTAGTTTATGGGAAGTTTATAAAAATGTGGAGTTTTGATTATCTTTTTTTTCCCCAAAAAGGCTAGCAATAATAAAGATCCAAGACAGTGTCATCTTTATTCAGGAGCCCAAATATTCTCAAGGTTTCCTCAAAGCTGAATGTATGCATTGTTTTGGGGGGTTGAAATATTCCAAGTTGATGTTATTGTTCTGTGGGCTGTGTTAGTTTCTGTAACAACATGCCTGAGGCAGTTCATTTACAGAGCAAAAGTTTCTTTTGATTTACAGTTTTGGTAACTCCTATTGATGACTGGATAGAGCCATGCTTTGGGCCTTGGGGCAAGTGCTGAATGGAAAACTTGGGATGTATGTGGCGGTACAGACTCATATCAGAAATATAAAACGGAAGGAGGAATATGCTGGGTATTCATAGTGCTCTTCAAGAGACTGCTCACGAGGCCCTGCCTTCTAAAGATTTTATCATTTTCTAATGGGGACCAAACCATTAAGTGTCTAATCAATATCCAGCCTCTACCATTCTACCCCTGGCTTCCAGTGACTCACATGTATTTCACAGTGAGAACTGCATTCATCTGGTCCTTGAGAATGCCTAAAGCTTTAGCTACTCCAGCATTACTCAGAACTCCTCCTGCAGGCTTCTGTAAACTAGATGCAACGTGGGCTCTAGGCCCCTTTAAAAAACAAAACACAATTCAACACTTCCAGGTCCATGAAAGGACTGTGCGATGATAAGACAGATGTGTGCTAAGTATTCCGATTCTAAGAGGGAGAAATAGAGAAACGGGGAGGCAGAGGAGGTCAAAGTGGGATGGAAACCCAGAAGGGGAGACATCAGGCCCTAAAAGTCCATTCCTGGAATGTGGGAACGCTGCAGAGACGGTCCTTCAAACCTTTCTGCCTCCTGACAGCCTGGCCCAGGCATCAGGCCCTTGGGAAGCAGAGCAACTTCTGGGGAGGGAGAGGCTTCCAGAGCCATTGGCTTGTGTGTGGCTGCTGTCCATCGTGTCACAGTGTACTGAGCACTGAAGCCTTGTAGCTCTACGGGAGGAGAGCAGTATTTCTAGTGAGTAGCTCTCTGTCAATGGTGTCACAGGGGATGGAATCCAAAGAAACACTTGGGTTGGTTTTGTGGACTATCTTTAGTCTTCGGCCCTTCACAAAAGCATAGGAGCACACGTCTTTTGGAGTTCAGGAAAAAAAAAAAAGATTCTGAATTTCAAGGCAAGAACATGACTTGCTAAAACCTCAACATTATTAATATGATGATTTTCTAATTTGTCCTCTTTTATCTTGTCTTTAGTGTCAAAAAATCAAATCATAGGATATTTGTGCAGGTCCCGGGGCTTATTGGTTAAAGAGAATTGAATATGCATCGCCTTTTTCATCTTAGAATGGAAAAGATCAAGAGACTGTCTCTCCACCGGCACGAGCGCCTGACATGTTGGAGGCGCACCACCCATCAATTGCACGACTTAGCCCCGTTATCTTTATAGCTACATGACAAGCTAAGTGCTAACATGCCAACTTTATGGATGAGAAAACTAGAGCTCAGACAGATTGAAGAATTCTGGCGAGGTCACATGGTTAGTTCCGAGTCAGTTTTCAAATTCGGCTTTCTTGATCACTAAGCCGATGCTTCAGACACTGCAAAGGATGCAGAGTAGACAGCATCCCAGCACGGAGATAGCTCTCCCATGTGACGTAGAACTACTAGGAAACAACAGCCACAGTACACTCTTCCATGCCGGAAGCTTATCATGGAAGCAGAGAGTACAGACTTTTAGAAGCATCTACAGAGTGGGATAATAGGACGCATGCCATTTTGATACTGAGTTGGATTTTAACATTGGACTCCAAACTA